TCTGAAATGTATTCTATATAGTTACAATAATTTTTAGATCATATATTAATATTTTTATTAATATTGAATTATAAATGTAGTAAGTACACTTACCTAGAAAATATCAATGATGTATCAATTTGAAGAAAATTAGCTTATTTATAATTTATAATATTTACACTGAAGATACAATATTTGAAAAAAATCAAACATATTCACTAGGTTTTATTAAAATGTTAAATCATAATACACCGATTTATTGAATATCAATACATAAGAAATATTTACATTTCCTTTGTCAATGAAATTATAACATTATAAGACTAGAAACCTGTTTTCTCAACTTATTTAAAAATGATTTATGCTATTTATTTTACTTAAAATATTAAGATTATTTTATTTATTCACAATTGTTAATGAAACGGTAGTTTTCATATTGTATTGATAATTGTTAATTGACTATTTTTGTGAAGAATTTTCTTTATAAATCCGTTAATTTTGCTTCTTTGTAAGTGTTTTAGATGGGAAGGCTTTGTGAACGTCAAAAATACTTTTGGTCGCTGCATGCAAAAGGCGATAGAAGGGAAAAAGCTTCACGAGCATGAACAACGTCTGCAGATCCTTTTTCATCTCCTGCAGGAAAAGCGTTTGTAACAGCAATTGGCCCAATCAGGAGGCGTGCATACCAATACACGGAAAGGAAGGAGACCCAAAAAAAAAACCTTGGATGAATCACCGGACGGACAGGTTATGGACATCAAAGGAGTTACCTGTCAACCAGGCAATTTTGGAACATTATTCTATACCTTTTTATCCGCGGCTGCCACATTTTTTTTCCTGCTTTGTAATCATCGCGGCAACCTGCAGTCCTTTTTATGCCACCCACCACCCAACATGTACCACCCCATTGCTTGAATGCCGTAATATTACGTCGTGTGTTGGGGATGGATTGAATAGTGTGAAGTGTGTAATATAGTACCTGCCCCGACTGCAAAGTCTGTATGTGCGCACGAGGGTGGCGTTCTTGGTGGGTGTCAAACGGGGGGGCGAAATCCCCTGCAGACGATCGAAATTGCCGGTGGTTACTTTTCAAAGGGCTGCCAAGCCAAGGAAAGTAAGCAAATTTTTATTTACAACTCGATACTTAAACTGCGAATTCCTTCATCTCCACTGCTTTCAGCATAATCGATTCAATTATTTACTGCATTTAAATGCATCACGTAATCCGATTACGTTCGTGTGCATTTACCATTTTCCGCAAAAATATCGCGAGCGGAAATTTTCTTTTCGGACAAAACAAAAAAATCGTATTTTTTTTTTGAAATTTTTAGTTGAATACATGCATAATATTATACGTTCAACGTTCGCATTTGCAGTCGCATAAAAGTTTAATTAAAATTACGCTCTGGTTTTTCGCTGCATTTTCTCATTACGGGAGGAGGATGAAACGGAACAAAAACAAAAAAAAGCGACGGACACCAACAACGCGAAATGGAATATTTCAATTTCAAGTGTATTTGATGTTCGTATAAATTCGCATCCCCTTTGCAAATATTATATTTACAATTTCCTCGTACTGCACATGTAACAAAATAAAAACTCTCCCTTGTCACATGCAAATGTGGAGATGCATCTGTCTCTATATTTCTACTTAAAAAATGTGTGTAATCACACAGGTTTGTTCACTTTAACGGATTTAATTAATTTTGTTAACAAGGTTTTTTTTTGCTGAAAGTAGTCGCAAACCGATTCTGTATTATTTACACGGAGTTACAAACTTTGTCATCTACGCTACACAGAAACGTGATATGAATCATTCACTCTCGTGTATTCCAATTACTTACGCATACATTATTCAAATATCGGGGGTTGAATTTAAAAAAAACACACCACCGCTTCTTTATACTCAGATTGTATATCGATATGAAGAATATTCTTTAAAATTTTAACAAATTAACAAACTTTGCTAAATATAACATAATAATAGAAGATGTATTTGTATTAAGTTTCCTTTAAATTGTTTATTGACTAATAGATTTGTGTATTGTAGCAATTAGTCTTATTACTTTTGCATAATTAGGTTAAAGATTTACTTCTTAGAATATCAAATAATATGAGATTTTACAAAGAATATTTGCGATCCCAAAGAACAAAAGAATTGGATCATCATTGTTGTTGAGAAAAAATCATCAATATTTTTAATTAAGTTGAAATTAAATAACTAAACTTAATTTTATCTTATTACCCAATTGATATATAATATTGATACATATTTTATAACAAAAATTAATTACTTTCTCTGTTTTCAGCTTACCTCAAGATTAAGTTATGTTGGTCGACGATCTTTCGAACATTAGCTTTGACTTCAGGATTGTTGTTTACCGAAACGAGCAACAAATTCTCATAGCAGAATTTGATCATCTCTATACCAATGTAAACGTATGCAACCATATCAAGGAATAGACCTTCAAAAGACAATTTTACTGGAGTTAGTTGAATGCACAGAAGGAAAGCTCCCAGCTTATTATACAGCAGTTCTTTTTAAAATCGTATATAGGATAAATGGTCAACAAAAGATTAGGATAGGAAAGCTTAGGTTTTACTGTAAGTAAGATTATACAACATCCAATTGTAAAGCTATATAATTGCTTCTATTTTGTTCAACACCGCATTCAAATGGTTTCTCTTCGAGATCATACCCATGAACTTTGAAAATCCCTGTGAAAAGACGTTAATTATATTTTTAAAGAAAAAATACTATTACAAGTGAAGGAAAAAACATCAGCTTTACCAGAGTGAGAATATTTTCTCAATTAAAGACCAATTCCATACTCATGAATTCAATATTAAGGCAGGCGACATTAAGCACCGTGAAGAATCTTCGTATTTTGGATTGGATTTTCTTGGATGTATTCCTACTGCGTACATTACCATCAATGCGATCTCCAATGAACGGTTAAAAATTGCTTCAAGCATGTCTAGATTCGTAATGGAGAAGAATCGAAGATTTATTGGCATTTAAATGAATTGTAACAATTTCTTTGGAACTAGGCACAATCATTACAACTTTTCAATTGCTCAATTACAAACTACAATTTGCTTTTCAAAGTAATACTTATATAATACTTTTATTAATAAATGGAAAGCACACGTGTGCACTTCTTACATTATAATAAAATTAAAAATAAACACGTAATAAATACGTTAAAATCCATAATAATGCAAATAATATTTACGAATTTGAACATGATGATTTCACAAATTAATATATGATAATTGCAATAATAGTTCTAATTTTTTTTTTAATAATTACTTTATTTAATCGCAGATGGATCAAATTTATGATTTGATTATTATATCATAACATTGGTTTTCTAGTTATCTTAATATTAGTTTAATTATAGTTAATAATGAAAATATTTCTCTGAATTCTGTAAATTATTAATTTTTACAAATCTTCTGATCCTTATATAATTAGAATTTGAATCGTTCTTCGTTAGATACATTAACAAATTGTTGCACAGAATGCTATCATCACGTGTGAAAAAGAAAAACTGGTGAAGAAGTGTAAACAATTGTGTTGCAGTCTACATCAGAGTTTTCCAAACTGGAGACGCGGACTAGTCTAAGCGCGAATGTTAGTCACAGTGAGCAATTTTCCAAATGACTGCTAAAGTTTTATCTATTTTATGAAATGAAGGGGAGGCGTCAAATGATTAAATATTTTAAGGGAGGCGTAGTAACATAAAGTTGGGAAAACCACTGGTCTACACTAAACATAAAAATTATATGAATCATACAATCTGGTGTATTTTGATTACTTACGCATATGTAATTTAAATGTTAGCAGTGGAAGTAAAAAGAAACATCATAATTACCATTTTTTTTATATTTATGCGAAAAAGCATTACAAGCATATAAATCAATTGTAAAAACGCATTAAAATTTTAACAATTTAAGCAACGTTTAACAAACTTACAGACTACAAACAGCGTAATAAGTAATTGTAGAAGTGATATATGTAGTAGTTACAAAGTTTTCCTTTAAATTGATTATAGACTAAGATAAATCTTGGTAATATGAGGATATAACTATAAAAGGACAAAAATATTTACTTTTCAATAGATTATCGAAGTGAAATTAATGTAAATATGTGAAATTCATAATCTTTTACACGTGTATTCGCGAAATGCTAGAAGATGAACACTTCTTGTTGTATACAAATTATCAGTGCAATGTGTATTAACTGCGCATTCAATCTCAATTAATTTCTCAAAGTTTCCATCAAACCATAAATCGACAAAGAATTTTTCACAATCTGAAAAATATCCAAAATCAATATTGTTTTTCAAAGATAAATTACAAAACTTACTATAACAAAAGAATTCATATTCATATCCATCATTTTTCCTATGGTGATTTTATCGGTCCTCTGAGATCTCATTATGATCAAACTCAATGATTTTCTTAAGCTAGCCTGATCCTTCTCATACCATTCAACAGAAAACGCAGCATCCGCAATGCTACTTGTCTGTAAAGGAAACGTAAATGATTTGAGCTATTTTTTTTTAAATTTATACCTGATCCATGATCAAATGTCCACCTAGACAGTAAATAGACAATTGCGCGAGGAATGCTAAGTAATAAATAACAAAATGTAAGTGATCTACATCTGGAGGAATTCTGAAAGAAATAAACAAATAGGAATTGTTTGATAATATAATGATTTTTTTATTGTTTTACCCATCGTAAGTCATCATGAATAAGCAGAATATTTGCGATCCCAAAGAACAAAAGAATTGGATTATCATTGTTGTTGAGAACAGATTATCAATATCCTGAATTAAGCTGAAATTAAACAATTATAGCATTACAAATCGATATGTAATAATGATACATATTATATAACAAAAATTAATTACTTTCTCTGTTTTCAGCTCACCTCAAGATTAAGTTATGTTGGTCGACGATCTTTCCAATGTTAGCTTTGACTACAGGATCGTTCTTTCCCGATACAAGCAACAACTTCTCAAAGCTGAATTTGATCATCTCTATACCAATGTAAATGTATGCAATCATATCGAAGAATAGGCCTTCAAAGGCCATTGATACTGGAAGTAGTTGACTGCACAAAGTGATGAACTGCCAACAATATAAGCTAATTTTACACCAGTTCTCTTTAACATCGCATATTGGATAAGTGTGAAACAAAACGTGAGGATCGGAAATGGTATTTTTAATTAGCAATAACGTTATGCATGCGATCAGCATGTAATTGTAAATTTTATGTAATGCTAGGAAAAAGTCTCTGTAAACAACCGCCTTTCTCTCAACTTCAGGACCTAACACATCGAGCTTCCAGAGGGCTTCAATTTTGCTCAACACCACATTCAAATGGTCTCTGTTCCAGACCATGCACAACATCTTTGCAAATCCCTGAAAAAAGATGTAACTTCAATTCTTAAGTTAATTATATTTTTTAACAAAAATACCATTATAATTGCAGGAAAAAACAACAGCTTTACCATAGTGAGAATATTTTCCCAATTTAAGACCAATTCCATACCCATGACGATATTAAGGCAGGTGACATTAAGCACCGTGAAGAATTTTCGTATTTTACTGAAGGTGTTAATTTTTCTTGGATGTATTCCTGTTAAGTACATCGCCATCAACGTCATCTCCAATGAACGGTTAAAAGTTGCTTCAGGCATGTCTAGATTCGAAATGGAGAAGAATCGAAGATTTATTGGCATTTAAGTGAATTGCTTCAATTTCATTGAAACTAGGCACAATCATTACAACTTTTCAATTGCTCAATTAGGAACTGCAATTTGCTATTCAAGGTAATACTTATATAATACTTTTATTAATAAATGGAAAGCACACGTGTGCATTCCTTACATTATAATAAATTAGAAAAAAAAAACGTAATAGATACATAAAAATGCAAATAATATTTACAAATTTTAAGGTATGCAATGATTTCATAATGTGATAATTGGTATAACATTTCATTTATTTTTTAAATAATTATCTAATTTAATATGATAGCATTATAGGTAGATCAATAATTATTTATGTTTTGATATAGTAAAACAAGAAATTAAATATTGCAGTATAATCGTTGATTGTCCATTATCTTTATATTAGTTAATAATGAAAATACTTCTCAAAATTTTTATTTTTCACAAATCTTCAGATCAATATATAATTAGAATTTCGTTAGTTACATTAACAAACTGTTGCACAGAATGCTATCATCATGTGTAAAAACTGGTGAAAAACTGTTAACAATTGTGTCATAGTCTACAATAAACATAATAATCATAAAATCTCGTGTATTTCGATTACTTACGCATACGTTATTTAAATATTAGGAGAGGAAGTAAAAAAAATATCGTCATCATTTATTTATAATGTTTTTTTTATATTTATGTGAACAAGCATTAACATTTTACCAAATTTTTCAAAAGCTTACATATTTAATATCTAATTAATAATTGTAACAAAGGTTTCTGTAATAGTTACAAATTTTTTCTTTAAACCAGTGGTTTCCAAACTTGATGTTACTACGCCTCCTTTAAAAATATTTAATCATTTGTCCCTTCATTTCATAAAATAGATAAAACTTTAGCAGTCGTTTCGAAAATTGCTCATTGTAGTTAATATTCGCGCCTCTCCTCAGAAAAGGTTTTATGTATTGTGTGAATGTATATAATTTTATTAAACTTTTAAATATTGATAATATGAAGATATAACTAACTAAAGGACAAATATATTTAGAAGGCAAAATATTTATATTTCAATAGATTCATGTAAATATGTGACATTTTCATATTACTATTGTAGCAAATCGTAAATAATAACTTAACACCAGCAATTTTATAATTTTGAAGATGTGTTTCTTGGTGAATCCTTGATGTTGTTATAAGAATTTATATTCAAATCCACCATTTTTCATATGTCCTTTTGAGATCTCATTATGATCATACTCAGGGTTTTTCTTGAGCTAGTCTGATCCTTGAAATACCATTCAATAGAAAACGCAGCATCTGTAATGCTATTTGTCTGTAAATGAATCGAAAATGTTTATTCTTTTTTTTTATAAAAGTGCATACCATGATCAACTGTCCACCTAGACAGTATACAAACAAATGCGTTAGGTATGCTAAATAAGAAACAGAAAATATAAGTGTTCTACATCTGGCTGAATTCTGCAAAGAAAAAAATAGGAAATGTTTGAGAATATAATGATTCTTTGATTGTTTTACCCATCGTACCTCATCAAGAATAAGCAGAATATTTGTGATCCCAAAGAACAAAAGAATTCGATCATCATTGTTGTTGAGAACAGATCATTAATATCTTTAATTAAGCTGAAATTAAATAATTAAGTTTATAGCATTACCAATCGATATATAATAAAGATACATATTTTATAAGAAAATTAATTATTTTCTCTGTTTTCAGCTTACCTCAAGATTAAGTTATGTTGATCGACGATCATTCGAATATTAGCTTTGACTACAGGATCGTTCTTTACCGAAACGAGCAACAACTTGTCAAAGCTGAAATTGATCATCTCCATACCAATGTAAACGTATGCAGTCATATCGAGGAATCGGGCTTCAAAGGCTATTGATACTGAAAGTAGTTGACAGCACAAAGTGATGAACTACCAGCAATACAAGCTTATTTTACACCAGTTCTCTTTAAAATCGCATATAGGATTTATGTACAACAAAACTTTAGGATCGAAATGGTATTTTGAACTATAAGTAACATTACGCATACGAGCAGCATGTAAGTGTACATTTTATGTAATGCTAGGAAAAAGTCTCTGTAGAAAACCGTCTTCCTCTCAACTTCAGGACGAAAGACATCGAGCTTCCAGAGTGCTTCTATTTTGATCAGCACAACATTCAAATGGTGTCTCTTCCATATAATGCACATCAATTTTGCAAATACCTGAGAAAAAATGCAATTGCAATTTATAAGTTAATTATATTGTTTAAGAAAAATACCAGGAAAATACAACACCTTTACCAGAGTGTGAATACTTTCCCAATTGAAGATCAACTCCATACCCATGAAGATATTAATGCAGGCGAATCAAAGCACCGCGAGGAATCTTCGAATTTTACTTGGATTCATTCCTGCTATGTGCATTGCATTCACGTCATCTCCAACTTCAGGTACGTCTGGATTCGTAATGGAGAAGAATCAATGAATCAATTCGCTTTTACGTGCATTTCTCCAATTTATTTGAAACTATGCACAATTATTACAACTTTTCTATTGCTCAATTACAAACTACAATTTGCTTTTCAAGGTAATACTTATCTAATGCTATTAAAAGTCAATTGAAATCATTCCACTTTACATTGCATTAAAATTAGATTAATTTGAGTTTTACAATTAAACAAGTAATCTGCATTACTGTAAATAATATCTTAGTTTTCTCACATGAAATATTTCTTCAGAAGTATAAAAATCTGAAAACATAACAGCAATGTATTACAATTCTGTTACATTGCATAATTTGAAGTGCTTATTGCAATATTATTAGTATATAAGTGAATAGATAAATTATCTTACAGAAAATACAAAGCATTATTATTATCAAAAAAAGAAGAAAATTACAGTCATTTGACTAAACTTGATGATCGTATTCAATTCATTTCTGATGCAGTTTGTAATAAAGCGTAAATCGATAAAGAATTTTTGATTATCTGCAAGCGTACAAGTAATGTTGTTAACAATTGAAGAGTACAATTAGGTAAATTTACTCACTGCTAAATAGGTAACTAAATTTAGATCTATCATGTCCCCAATTGTGAGTTTATCTGCGCGATGTGATCTCATGATAATCATAGACAAAGTTTTTCTTAACTTCGTCTGATTCTTGTTGTACCAAGCAACGTCGTACGCTGCATCACCAATTGAAGATGTCTGTTGAAATCGTTATAATATAAACTTTTTTTTTAATTAATAAATTTTTATAACTTGCTTCATTCATGATTATAGAACCGCCGATGCAGTAAATCGACAATTGTAGTAAATGCGCCATGTAAATTGTTCCATAAGTGTATATATGCTCCAGGTCTGGTGGAGATCTGAATTTAAAGTAGTATTTTTTTAATCAAGCAGTTTTTGGTCAAAAGATTGAAACTAACCCATCTAAAGTGAGCATGAAGAGGCAGAAGATCTGCGAGCTGAGCGATGTTGAGAATTGCACGAAAAGGATTTCAGAGAACATATCGTTGATATCCTTGATTAATCTAAAACATCAATTGTTAGGTATATATTTAAATTGTGTATTGATGAAATTTAACGATAGTATAATGTTATGTTGCGTGACGATGTTTCTGATGTTACATCTAACCCTGAACTCATCCTTTTCAGAGTAGGCAAGCAGGAAGAGATGCCTCAATCCCGATTTGACCATCTGTATTCCAATGTAACCGTAAAGGATCATGCAGGTGAAGAGGGATTCGTTGGCGAGAGTTAAAGGAACTGCGAACATAGTTAAATACACGCATTCCCAGGCGCAGCTGATTTCGTAGCAAGGACTCTTCGTTAAATCGCAGAACGTGTACGCCGGAAGCGACGGGTCCTTGAAGTAGATGCTTTTCGCGCAAAGCATCGCTACATTAATCCAAACCAGAACCTTGAAGACGCTGATGAATTTGTGCGCAAGATTGGCGTAATACTTCATCTCATCTTCGACAGCTTGCCCGAAAATGTTAATGCGCCAAAGCGCGTCGATTTTCTCCAGGAAATCCCCGATGTTATCCTTCTTCAGCGTAAGACAAACAGATTTACCGAAGATCTACGAACATCATCATACATTCCATGAAATAAATCTAATCTTCAATGAATATTCACCATCAGAATTCCGGGAAGCAGCAGTGATCTTCCCAGAGTCCGGACACCGTTCCAGTTCAGGAAGAGCTCCAGGCTCATCATCAAAGACATCAAGAACGTTCCGCCCACCAGGATGAAGTTCGTAATCCGGTTAATTGGACGACGATTCCATGGATTCAGACCGACGAAGGTAATCCATTTCATTGAGAATCTTAGCAAAGGGAAATACTTCTCGTTTTCCTGCATCTCTGCGAACCACCGTTGTCGCAGTCCAAACTGTATTAAAACAATTCATCAGGCGATTGAAAAGTTTCAGTAACTTTTAATTAGAGCCACGAGTTCAAAAAAGAAATGAAAGTCAATTAGTGAAATTGCGCGGTGAATTAGTGCACTTGCTTTCGATTAATTTTGTTCACATAAAAAACTGCTTAATGATGTACGTCATTTCGATTCAATAGAACTTTCAATAATTATTCCACCTTGAAAAGTTTACTTTGCTTAAATATGTATCGAGCAAAGCGTTCATTATAAAAAAAATGTGTCTTCTCTGAATCATTGCAAAAAAATATTAAAAAAAATCTCAATCTAATAATACTTATATTAATTATATACTTGATTACTTGAAGAAATAAAATCAATAAAAGTTAATAAATAAATTATGTATTGAATAAAATGAAAAAGTTATCTCAAAATTTCAATATTTTCTTATCTTTAAATAAATTAAAACTATTTTTTGGATCTAATTACGCTTTTTGTTTTGTTCTAACAATGTGAAATTAACGATTGTATAAAGTATTATTAATATAACACAAATATTATCATCAATCTATGATTTTTTTTGAAAATATTTCTATAATAAACAATTGCAGAATTGTAACATTGGTATAAATAATTGATTATTATGACTTACATTTAATTTGACATTACTTAAGACAGAAATATTACTATATTTGCAGATTTTTTTTATATTATAGTATTTTATATTGCTTTTGCAGAACTGTAATAATTCTAACAAAGTGAAATAAAAAGAGATAAATACACCAAAATGTTCAAATAAAAATTTAAAGGCTTCAATCTAGAGACATTAGTATTGGAAAAGAGTTAATGTAGGATATTAAAAGAATATTGGAATTTCGAAGAATGTAGAATCTTCAAAGATATTGGACTAATTTGATTTAAATTTCAGGGAAACTGAGGAGCATTGGCCGAGGAAATAAACAGAATAGAAAACCAGGATTATTAGGATGTCGTATTTTGGCGAGGATTAGGAGGATATAAGATTTGGCCAGGAGATTTTGGCATTGGAAATGAAGAGAGAAACCGTAGTCAACGATAGGACGGCAAATGGATTTATAGATGGAAGTGTGACATTTGATCAACGATCGGAATCCTGATTTTATTCTGGAATTAAGCTGTTTTCAATAGGAGTTGACAGTTGGCTTTAATCCGAGGAGGATTTCAAGGTAGTTTAGTATAAATATAAGTATTTTCGAGGATTTTTTTTAGAATTATGAATCGAAAAAATCTAAATATTTAATATTTTGCAGAATTGCAATACCTAGAGTTTGAGGCAATATAAAAACAATTAAATATAAAATTTATGAAGCATATTTTTATTTTCGAATACAATGAAATACATCTAAAGTAAAAGTTACAAGTAAAGAAAAGTGTTCTATTTATATTTATAAATATAAATTATACGTTAGGTTTTATATTCCAACTATTTCAGTGTTAACTAATCTAAATATAGTTTCTTTTCTATAAGTTACGAATTGCATCAAATTAATTATATGTTTTAAATAATTGTGTATTTCTTTTTCAGTCTGGTATTGTTTGTACTAAAGTGCAGATGGATAACGAATTCTTTACAATCTGCAACGAAATAAAGTCAAGTTACTGAGAGGAGGAGAACAATGATTGTGTAATTGCCTCACAGACAGATAGGTAACTAAATTCAGATCGACCATGTCTCCAATTGTGAGTTTATCGGTGCGCTGTGATCTCAGGATAATCAAAGACAAAGATTTCCTTAACTTCGTTTGGTCCTTGCTGTACCAAGGCACGTCGTACGCCGCATCGCCGATCGAAGATGTCTGCAAGGATCGGATTTTAACGTTTTTATATAAATCAACGAAACCCGAAAACTTACAACATCCATTATAATATTACCGCCGACGCAGTAAATGGCTAACTGAAATATGTGTGTCACGTAAATTGGAACGTACGTGGTTATATGTTCCACGTCTGGTACAGATCTGAAAGAAGAGTTAATTTCAATCGTCTAAAAAACTGAGTAGATATTGGAGAAAAAATAACCCATCCAATGTGAGCATGAAGAGGCAGAATATCTGCGAAATAACGGAGGTCGAGAATTGCACGAAGAGTATCTCTGAAAACATATCGTTAGTGTCCTTGATTAAGCTGAAACAACAAGTATTAAGTTATCAAGCCAAGTAGTACCTACAACTCACGATAGTGTAATATTATGTTGACGCACTACGTTTTTTATGTAATATTCATTTGTTTGTTCTTCTCTTTCAGTGTGGGCCAACAAGAATAATTTCTGGAATCCTGACTTGATCATCTGTATACCAATGTAACCATACAAAATCATGCAAGCGAAGAGGGATTCATTGGCGAAAGTCAAAGGAAGAGCCAGGAAAACCATATATACGCATTCATACAGACACGTGAATTGGTAACATGGACTTGTCGTTAAATCGCAGAAAGTGTACGCTGGTAGAGACAGTCTTTCCAAGAAAATGTCCTGTACACAAAACATCATGACATTTACCGTGCAAATAACTTGGAATATTTTCATGAATTTGTACACGATTCTGCTATAATTCTTCATCTCATCTTCAACGGCTTGTCCAAATATATCAGTGCGCCAGAGTTTATTGATTTTCTCAAGGAAATTCCGTATGTTCTCCTTCTTGAACGTCAGGCTCACCGATTTACCAAAGACCTTCAAAACGTATACTTAATTAACTCTCAAAGTATTTGTACTTCTATTCACCATGACTATGGAAGGAAGCATCAAGGAGTTTCCCATAGTCCTCATACCGTTCCAGTTCAAAACCACCTCGAGAATCATCATCGCGGACATAAGGAATGTCCCGATGACCAGTAAAGCGTTAATTAAATTGTCTCTAGGACGACGATTGTTGGGATGAAGCCCGATGAATCTTATCCATTTTAGAGAGAATCTCAACAATGGAAGATAGTCGTTCATTTTAATGTTCGGAGTTCTTGTCGCGTAGTTAATACACTCGCGAGTAACGTTCCTACAATGCACAAGAGAAACAAATTAGATAGTAATAATTTATTAGTGGAATTACGTCCGCTTGCCAGCGATTAATTTCGTTCTTTCGAAACTACTAAATGATGTATTTGATTGCAAGGAAAATGTTCTTCTTGCTTTGTTATTTCAATATATTTGAATTTTAAAATACTTTAGAACAGATCCTTATGATGATAGCAGTAAAACTTTTTGTATAAAATGTAAAAAGTCTTGTGATTTGTAAGAACATAAAGTATATAGGAGTCTTGACAGTCTAATTTGTAAATGCCTGTTTTATTGAAACAAGTTCTATATTATGCCCCCCCATTCTGAATTCATGAAACAATCAATGTAAATTTTAAATAAACATTATTTATTGAATTAATTTGCATTTACATATTTATAAAAAAAAGTTACATGAAAATAGTAACAAACAGTAATAGACAAACAAAATAAAATTCTTAAAATGGAACAAACAAAAATTAATTGAAAACTTTCCCCCTTCAGGTTTTGGAAAAAAGATATTGCTTCATGTTTGATATAATTACTTTAAAATTGGGACTTTTTGATGTAAGAGCAATTTGAATACAGTCTTCGGCGTTTAATCGATTTCTGTTTTTCATTTTTATGTTCATTAGAGTGGAAAAGCCTTGTTCACAAAGGTAGGTTGTTGCAAATGGCAGCAATTTATTTACCGCCTAATCATGTGCAATTTTGAAAGCCTTTGCAGCCTTTGACAACCAAAAAGACGACAGATTTGCTTTGGTCACAAATTGAATACAGTATTGGATGGAAGTTCAAGAATTGCCTCTGCCAAACCTGGAAGTTCTTCTGGTATGTTAGTAATTTCACATTTAAAAGGATCTACAACCCAATTCACAGTTTGTACATCAAGATCTGAAAAGTAGTCAGAGAACCGCTCTCTGAGTTTGGTAAGATGAAATTAGAAAAATTTCCCTATTACCCAAAAAAAAAATCATTTTTACTCCATTTTGGGTAATTTACCCCGGTTCCCCGACCGCTGCTCTAAATTGATATAAATTGTGAAGCTATTCTATTCAGACTTCTTGATTGATTTTTGATGTTCTTTTATACTAATTCTTTAGAATCTTGTGATTCCTGCTGAACTTATTACAAATGTACCTACATGTTTAGAATGATGCAATTTGTAATTAAAATACATTTGAAATTATATATATATCCATATTTCTTTGTAGCAAGTAATAATTGTCAGATTAACAATTTATAAATAGATTTTATTAAGTAAAATCTCCAATTTAGGTTTGATCACACTGAAAAAATAATATTAATGTTATAAAAATAAATTTATTTAATAAACACACTTTATGTTGGTCAAAGCTGGTTTTATTTTATTCATACTTTTTTTTATGACAAATTATATCAATCAACAAAGAATTTATATTTCATTTATATATATTATATACAGGGCGAATATTTGAATTTTGGCGCGTTTGTACACTTCCTTTCACCGAGGTCAAAAGTAGTTCAATGAATCGCCGCTTTGGCACTGAACGTCATCGTCCTGGCTTCGACCACCTCCTCGTCCTTTTCTACTGTGGTCTTCGGTCGAGCAACATCTTCCGTCATCGCTCCAGAAACTTTTATAAAATCCGCCATTACCGAGTTTTATAATCGTGCCAGACAACTAATTTCAATTTTCGATTAAATAACTGAGTAACTTTGCCGGAGAATGTGGTTTTGATCCCATTGGAAAGCAAGGTCGATTAATTAACGGAAATTCGTGATTGGTTTTATGGAAAAGCTGAACAACTTTGTCGGAGAATGTGGTTCAAATCCCATTGGAAAACAAAGTCGGCTAATTATTTTGAGGTGACAAATTCAATCAATTGAATAGCGAGAAAGCCGAGCCACTTTTTCGGCGATTATGTTTTGAAAGTTTTCATCTTGGATGTGGCGATTTTCACGTTCTTTTCTGTTGTAGTCTTCAGTTCTGAAAACTTTCAGAAACGCCATAGAAGTGAATACAATTAACGAGTTTTGCAAATACGCCAGACAATTGCAATTTTCGATTAATAAACTGAGCAACTTTGCCGGAGAATGCGGTTTTGATCCCATTGGAAAGCAAAGTCAGATAATTAACGAAAATTTGTTATGGGGTTTATGGAAAAGCTGACCAACTTTGTCGGAGATTGTTTATATTTCATATATATATTATATACAGGGCGAATATTTGAATTTTGGCGGGTTTGTACACTTCCTTTCACCAAGGTCAAAAAGTAATTCAATGAATCGCCGCTTTGGCACTGAGCGTCATCGTCCTGGCTTCGACCACTCCCTCGTCCTTTTCTACTGTGGTCTTCGGTCGAGCAACATCTTCCGCCATCGCTCCAGAAAACTTGTATAAAATCCGCCATTAGCTACCATCTTCTAACCGAACTACTAATGCTAATGAGGTTACATTGACACAGAAGTGAATTACCAATTCAATTATAATCGCGCCAGACAACTAATTGCAATTTTCGATTTAATGAACTGAGTAACTTTGTCGGAGAATGTGGTTTTGATCCCATTGGA